TAGATTTACGTGTAAATATTTGAACTGATTTCTTGAAGACACTCCTTCCCTTTCAAACGTACAGTATTTTCCTTTTATCATTTATTTAAGGTTTGTCTTTGTGAGCATTATTGTTAATATTGTGTTTTTTTTTTCTTTACACCTGAAGCTCCATTAAACATTTTCACCAGTTAAATTTTGTAAGTATATCATTAGCATTTTATTGTTTTGAAATTCGAGTTTGAAAATAAATTAAAAATAATCAAAATATATTTTTTTAGGCTCCGATTGATGCCTGCCTGCAGAATAAGGAATGCATATCTGGCGAAATCTTGATCTAGACTTGGATTAACCTAGGGAAGAAAGGCATCGCGTACATTTTCGAGTATTTAGTATGGAAATCATTTACAAGAAAGTGGGTCTATTTTTACTTACCGAACACCTATCAGAAAATCTATTGACGAAATTTAATTAATGTATAAATTAATACTAAAACTCGTGTTATTAAAATTAATACGAATAACGATCCAGCCCGTTTGAGAGAGGCCGGTTCTCGAATCGACCAGGGCGGCCATCAAATTTACTGTCATGTGAGCAGCGCCATCTAGGTTTAATATGCACAATTCAAATATGCAGTACTGATTCGTCTGCTACGTACAATTTCAACAACAGGTGGCGCCACTCACATGGCAGTAAATTTGATGGCCGCCCTGTTAATCCAAGACCCTAATTGTTATTTATGAAAAAGATTGGGTGGTAAATGAGATATAGCCTTGGGTGTCATTTCCAATGTTCCTTTCGTTTATATGAATGAGAAGGAACTATTTGTGAAATTTCCATACAAGTTAGCACCACGTTTTAATGTTATCCCGCTCTTGTACTTGGATCATGCAAAATACTGAATAAAGTCATACCGATCCCTGCAGCACAAGCCACATAGGGAACCGCGACGTCTTACACCTAAATGAGACACGAGTATGGGTACGACATCCTTCTTAAGTTTCGTACCGTTCTATTCCCAAGTTCCTCAACGGGGTATAGTTCCGCTTCTTATTTTCAAGGGTTTAAGGTTTTGGCGCTACAGTTGGATCCTGACATCATGTAAAAAACTATCCGAGGTTTTGGCGCTATCTGGCGTCATGTAAAAACTTTTTTTTTTAAGGTCCTAAATTGGTTGGATTCTTGGTCTTAAGACTTTGAAACCGCTGGTTCAATTTCAGCAAGGGCAATATATTTTTTTTACCGCCCTATGATCTTGATTTTGTTTGTTCGATTTAATAACAATTAATTTTTGTGATCTCTTTTCGTAGGCTCAATATTTTTATTCTTATCAGTTTTCGTTATCGAAATAATTTAATAATCAGCTATTTATTAATGTAAAAGCATATTCCATTTAAATAAATAAAGATAATCTTAAGTTTCCAATGTGAAAATTCAATTGTGATATGCCAATGAATATATTGTATCAATTGCTTTTATTGACACCTTTTCGTTTTGTAAATCGAAAAGGAATGTTTTTTCTTGTAAGGTTCCCTGTTATTATCTTACCCAAGTCTGGATAGTAAACTTCACTGATCTGAACATTAATGCAGGGGCACCTGTTACAGTTCTGGACAGTAAAGTCCTCCACCCCGCTCCAGACAATGAGGAAAACGATTTAACCTCACAAGATCCCCAAGATCCCATATACAATAGTATACCCTTTTCTATACAGTGTATCAGTTTAAATCAATAAAACTGGTGTAAAATGTAAGAGACCCTAATTACTCTCCGAAATACGGTCATTTGTTAGTAGATTAATAACGTGCGTTAATATCCAGATACAATACGACGGCAATCTACGTTAATAGTTCTAAAGATTTCCTTGTTAATTATATTTTGTTGGATGTAATTTATAGCATTATAGTAACCGAACCGAAGACTCGGAGCCGACCCCGGGTTCGAATCCGGGTCCGTTATTTTCTGAAAAATTCGGTTCCTGGTGACTAGTTTTTTTCAGGACCCTATTTGGACTCGATTTTCGGTTCTGGCACGGATCATTAAAGAACCCGCCTGGAACCTGTCCGTCCGGAACACTAGTTTATCTGTTATAGCGTCAATAAGTGACGATGCATTCATTGGCTGAAAATTTCGAACAATACTCTCTCCCCACTATAAACTGGTGATGACCTTGAAATAACGCTTGTTGATGGTATAGTATGTCTGCTACTGCTGAAAAGTTCTAAAATTGCAATAATACCTGTTCACGTTTTCAATAGAAAAATATGATAGACCTTTTTGTTCAAAACATTTTTAGATAATATTGATTATAAAAGCGACATCCATAACTTACTGCGCCACTGTGTCAATCTATGTCATAGATATTCTTGTAAATAATAAGTGGATGCTGTCATGCTGTATTACAGTCGTACATACATACAGGATATTTCGCTGTATCACATCAAATGCGCAAAATTTTAGGTATATATAATGCTTTTTAGCCAATCAGAATGTGTTATATACTAATTCTGATTGATTAAAAAAAAATTTTTTTATATTATTAAAATGCCAAAATTTTGAAAACATAGCATTAAACACTTATACTTTAAATAAATCGTAAGCTTTAAAAATTATAACCGATAATTTGGATAGAACTAATGAAAAACAATAATTTTTATCGGTTACCATATTTAAAACTTAAAATTTTATAGATTTTTAAAAAAATACATGAGAAGTAACTTGGCGCACCATAGAAAAAAAAATTGTCGATATATCCAGGGTAACGTCAAAATTTATTAGATTGAGGATAAGACATTCAAATGCCAGCTTGGATTATATCAGTGAAGATTTTAAATTTAGAAAATTCATCAAAACCTCTATAACAGATTCACCATTCATAAATTTGCTATAATGCAGGACGAAATTCCTCAGAACGAACAGAACATAAAAGATTCTCCAATACGCAGTAAAACCACACTTTTTGCTCGAAAAATTCCATATGACGCTACTGACAGTGAATTTGAGGCATTCTTTTCAGAAATCGGACCGCTGAGATTATGTTTTACCGTAAAAGAAACAAAGAGCTCAGATCCCACTTTAGACGATTCGCTACAAAAAGATAGTATGCTTAATACTGATAGCTCTCAACATTATATTGATGAAAAAGGGCAAAATCGAGGTTTCGGGTTTGTTCAATATGTCTTAAGCGAAGATGCAGAACGAGCTTTAAAGGAATTAAAGAAAGTCAAATTTCGAGGGCAAAGAACTTTGAAATTGGAATTTGCTTTGAAAAAACACGAAAAGCCTCCAATGATCGAAAAAAAAACAGACAAAAAATTGAATAATGCGAAAAAACCGAAAGTGGAAAAGACAGAAAAAAAAAGATCAAGACAATACGAAATGACAAATCGGAAATTGGTCATAGAGAAAGACGTGACTAAAAAAAATTCAGTCAAAAACAAAAATCATACACTATCGGAAGATGCAGTCTTATTTATCCGCAATATTTCCTTTGAAGTCACTGAAGAAGAATTGAGTGACATGTCAGTTGGTATTTAATATACATATTACGCAATTATGATGTAAACACAACCATAAAATTATTTACTTAAATTATAGATTTCGTCCATTTGGTCCGTTACGCTATTGTGTAATAACGAGGGATGATACAACAGGCCGTTCACGGGGCACTGGTTTTGTATGTTTTGTATACAAAAAGCACGCAGATGCGTGCCTAGAAGAGGCGAAAAGCGTAAATCACATCGGATCTGGTTCAACGGAACAGCCAGAATCGTCAACCAATGAAAAGAAGCGTAAAGGGATAATTTATAAATCAGTTCTCACAGCTGATCCATCAGACTCGCAAGCGCTCAAATTTACATTACATGGTAGAGTTTTATCAATAGTCAAAGCAGTTGATAGAGATGAAGCTCATAGATTAACGGAAGAGAATAAAAATAAAAAGCAAAAAGAAGATCGAAGAAATACATACTTGATTAAAGAAGGAGGCATGTATTGAATAGTGATCTGAAAATAAATTTTTCCTGCTAATTTCTTATCTTTATATAATTGTTTGTTTTATAGTTGTATTCCCAAATACACCAGATGCAACATTGCTAACACCTTCGGAAGTAGCTAAACGTGCAACATCATTTTCTACTCGAAAGAATTTGTTGGCAAAAAACCCAAACCTTTTTATATCAAAAACTAGGTTGTCCTTGAGAAATTTGCCACTTTCTGTAGATGAAAAAAAGTTAAAAAATTTAGGCAAGGAAAGCATTATAAAGTTCAAAGAAGAAGTTAAAAATGGTAAAAGGAAAATACTGTACGTTTGAAAGGGAAGGAGTGTCTTCAAGAAATCAGTTCAAATATTTACACGTAAATCTA